AACTTTCAGAATATTATTTAAAACTGATTCTCTTATCTTGTGCTCATCGAATGGTTCGCTTGTTTATTAAATATATTGCTTCATTACTCAATTATTATCCGGATTTATTTCTTAACATGGTTCAAACGTATCTCTCATTTTAGTTTTAAAAATCATAATCCAACGTCGTAATGACGAGAACATAAAGCGGGTTGGAAGCGAAGCACATACACGATAACCGATGATCCATCGAACGTACCAACGTTATAACCTAATCCATCGTATCGATTAGGAAATATAACCCAATTTCAGCTAACTGATTTACTCGCGCAAACGGATTAACTCAGCTTGAAGAGGGGCCACGGCGGCGTTAACACGCCGAATTGCTGCTTACTCCGTTCTTCCGCTACACTTTTCCCTCTCCAATCCAGAGTCCCTCTTCCTCTTCTCGGTAGTCGTTCATCTTGTTTTCAGCTACTCCCCTCGCTTCATTTGTCCGTTACGTGCAATCAGGAATCCGGTTGTCCGTAGTGAAACGGCTGTACAGCTGTCTGAAGGTTCTTAACCTAAGCTGTATTTATTTGTCACCGTCGAGGAAAATTCGCCACGCTCTCCTCTGTCTCACCCTCGCCGCCCCACGTTCGCAATCTCATTAAAGCTTTATCTGCGCCGCGGGAGTTGATTAGTGCTGCGCGTTACGGAATTGCGTTTCCGATGACAATTAAACGTTCGAGCTGCGAGCGTGGCCCTTTGCTTTATTTGATCTCATTGCCGCGTCGTTCTAGTCTGAAGCGATGAGAAAAGGATGTTCTCACTCTTGCGAGACCTACATACATACTTGTTCATCGCTCTCTTGGGGCATAATTCTAAAACTTTCAAGCATCAACGGAAGTTGAATTTCGACCGAATTAAATTTTCAGAACTCCTTCCTAAAGATATAAACTGTAACTACGTTTCAGTATTAAAGTCACTTATTATTGAGAGCTTGTTAATTAAAACGTCACTATGTTCATCCACCGAAACTTGTTTAAATAACGAGCATTCGTAACTATTTTATATTAATCAAATACAACGATTCTTGCTCCATATTTGTCATAGCAATCATTCTTCCTTTTGCATAAAACTGTTCGAGCTGTACAAGAAATGTTAGTCGTAAATGCTCCTTTTAGACGCAATATATTCAAGTGTATCTTGAAACATCTCGCAATGCAATCATCACTCTCGACATTCTAATAATATCATCTGCTACCCACTTGATACAAAAAATGCCAGACGAAAAAGAGAAGTGATCCTGCTATCTCGCAAATAAAGTGTCACACTCGACGGCAGCGACGCAATTCAAGTTCATTAAACTGCGTATTTTTTACGATAAATTACTCACGAGACGCGGGAGATGAACGGATACAACGGGAAAGTATAGTGAAGCTGGGGTGGATTCAAGGCGACACGGTTCAAAGATCGAATAAGATGTCGCTGGCCATCGTCCAACTTTTAAGACCGCCATTATTTCGCCATTAAAGTTCTTTCGGCGGCGGTTTTTGCGACGAGTCCACCGATACTTTTACTAAATTAATTTTCTGCCGCCGTCTGTTCTCAACTTAATGATCCGCGAAAGAAAAAACACAATATTTATTGCTCGCGACTATTCCTTCCTCCTCTCTGTTCTTCTACCGTCCGCCGGGTAAACCGGCGACATCATCGAGACTTCTGCTAGCGATATTTTCTTTTCTTCCCTCCTTTCATTCCTCTTTCTCTATTTCGTTCTCTCGCATTGCACGTTGTTCCTCTTGATTTTTTCTTCCCGCTCGTTCATTTCTTTACGTCGTGTCTGATTACTTCCTGGCGAGCGGAAATGTGAGCAGACGCTTATAGGTTTCTGAAGCGACGAGGCTTGAACGCGCAATTATTTATGGTGTTTGTCGAGCGTTGTTAAATAACTGATACGTTACGCGACCGTCTTAATGATTTCTTGCAAGAGGAACATAAGGTTTTCTGGTTCTGATCCAAACAAAGTCATTAAGAACGTTATGTACAACATACTGGTAAGAAAAAATCTCGTAGCCTTAGAGAGAGAAATTCTTTATTTTGGATATAAAATTCTGTTAAGGAATTTGATAAAAAATCCACATTCAAACGAAAAAGTTTATTTTAAATAAATCGCTCCTTCAGGAATATTTCGAAATATTGTATTGAAGAAATGCAGGAGAAGTTATCCATTCGGCGAACATCCAAATATTCGCCCGCTATTTTGTACAATCGAAAAAGCAGCCAGCAGGCGGTAGCCCAATTTGTGCCGTTTTCAGACCGCGTAATTCCACTGCTGCAACACCTGCCCACCGCCGCCAGAATCTTAAGCAGAAAATTCAATATTGGCGCTTCAGGTATTGTTAAGTTCGTGCAACCGTTTAGCTCGCTTTCGTCTGACTACGATAGTGCCGTTATTCTTTCCTCAAGATTTTCCGCTTTTGATAGATTTTAAATTCGTTGAATGACTCTAATCCCTTTCGCCCTATTTATTAAGTATCTTAAATACATGTTAAATTATAAGGCAAACGTGATCACACAAATTCATGAATAATTACGTATAAACCTCTATGTCACAATCTGTCTTATCTTTAATACTTTATACATAATCTCAGAATCGGTGTGTACTTATCGACAACACCCTATTAAATCCCTGTTCCGACGTTGCCTTTTTCATCTAGTTCCTCGATACAAACTTGAAGATAAATATCACTGGTGATGAAAACAAAATCCTTGATGTAGGTTCGACAGGGCAAGGCTTTAACTTGTCATTCCGGAGAAGTGGTCTTGTCCAAAATGTGCTCGAGTTAATGGAACCGTTTCATACTCGTTCATGTGTTCTTCCTTTATCTACCTTACCTTCTTTTCATCAATCATATGATGAACACGTTTTTTAAATTATTATACTTCGACTAGTAACGATTACTGCTATTCATAAACAAGGTTAATGGTTGGTAAATGCGAAATATATAAGATAGAACAAGTTCTGTTGATGCAAACCGATATCAGTAATCGATTATTCATAGGAATCCTATTACCCAGTTGGAAATGCAATTTGCTCGGTAATAATGATGATTCTCCATTATGTGTGTTACAGGCTTCCACCGCCGCAGCAGCAGGTGACAGTCGGCTCTCTGGGTGGTGGTTTGGGGGCTGCTGCCGGAAATGGTGGTATAGGTACCGTGGGCGCCCAAGGTCAAGCCATGGTAATGCCAGGATTCCGCGCCGCAGCAGTGCCACCCTATTCGCCGTATTCCCCGTCACGTTTTCACATCGACAAACGGTGCCAGCACAGATGCTCCTGGAAGTGTTTCTCCATCGCGCAGATCCTTCTCTCCGTTGCGCTGACAGCGATGTTGGCTTACTTCGCTAGTAAGTAAACGCAATATAATGCGGCAAGTAATTTCATTAAAAACTGATTGGACTCTAACCCAGGAGATCTCTTTCACGAGTGCTCATGTTTATTCATTCATTTCTCTTCCGTCCGGTTGCTTGAAAAATTGATCAGATAACTCCTTAAAATGGAGCGACTACTTTTAAGGTGGTTCTATTAAAATGCAACACATTGTAAATCATAATTAATGTTAAAGAATGTTATTCTTCAGATACGGTTAAGTATTCAAGTGTTGAACATATTTTTAAAATAATGAAGCTTAAGAAGTCGTGTTGCAACTATACTGAAGAATATGGGAGTCATACACTTGTCAATAAAAGCTATTAAAATCAGTCTGCTTGAACTCTATAGAAAAGCAAGAAACCAGATATTGGAATTCTCTTTAGGATTATATTTATGTTTACATAATTACTTAGTAATGCAAAATATTTCATTTCGTATATGTAACTACTTTAATATGTTTAAGAACATAATTTATTAACTATAGCAATGTATGCTGAACTAAGATTTTTAATACTCTTAAATGTACATTCGGCATTTTAATAGAAACATCGTAAATAGATTTTATTGTCATCTGGATAAGAGTTCAATATATGCTTGTTAAACGCAATCTATTAGCTCGTATAAATTTATTTAAAAAAAATTCCCGAAGAAATGTCTCATTACCGTTTTGCTTTGAGCGCATCATACGAGTCCATTTCTCCAATAGCTGGTACCGCGGGTTTTCAGAAATCCAAACCAGGGTACTCGTATTCAGGTTTGTGGTGAATCGATGCGACTACCGTTGCGTCCAGGAATTCGACGGGTGCAGTTCGCGGTGACGCTAAAACCGGCCACGATCAAAGGGCCGCCTGTGTGCGGGAATCAAAGTACAGTTAATTCATCTATTATGTATGAGTAGGTCCGTCGTTCGGCCGGGCTCTTATTTACGCCCCAACCGGCGTAAATTTATCGCTACTCCGCCCGGAAAATCCTTCTCCCTGTTAATCCACAACTCACGCTACAATAACTCATTATCAAGTTGCAGATTCGGTTTAGGGTGGCGAGATGCTCGGTCGACATTCGCCGGAACTTCGATTTGACTAACTTGCGATATGTAATCTGTCCGCAAACTCGGGACCGCTCCGCGTTTGTCGAATTCGTGCGATTTCAATTTAGTGAGATCCGCTTCAGGTGTTTCTGTACCGAGTATAAATAATTTTGCCGCATCGTGTTAGTAACTGGCATTAAATAATAATAAGCATAATGAGAAACAGGAAATTCATAATTATTTGCGTTAAATATTTTTTCGTCACCGTATCGATTACTCAACCGATAAGCTAATTACATTAACATGAAGTTTCACGGTTTATTATTCCAATGAAGATCAATTAGAACGCCGAGCGTGTACCCTCTTTCCAATTCACACGCGCTGTTGGACGACATTGGTTGCGTTTTATGAATGACCGGTAATGGAGCTGAAATTAAAATTCGTCCAGCATTTCAGTCTCCACACTTTCCCCTATATAGTTTGTGCGAACGCCGCTAGCGCAACACGCATGGGAATTGAAATTTTTCATCACGCGTTTCCTGGTTTCTAACCGAGCAGCTCCGTTTTGTTCCCCGCCGAAAATGTATTCACCGAACTTTTGTCGCCAGGCGGTGTTTCTCTTTTAACATAATATTTCAATAAAATCCAACGGGTTGCGAATCATTCAATATCGCCGTACTCATCTTTTCTGTTTTCAACAGTACGCGGCTTTAATTAAAATCGATCCATGGAAATCAGCTTTTATTTTTTATTTATCTTTTTTAAAACATTTCAAAATATAATCGCATCGACCTGTCGAAGCACT